TTCTCGCTAACGGATRTTTTGGACGAGTTGCAAGCAAAAAAGCCTTGGCTCAGTGAAGAAAATACGTATTTCTGTAAACAGTTTGGCTTGAATTTTTTTTAAAGGATGAAGGTTTTTGAAGGTATGTAATATTTTGCAATAAGTCAAAGTCCAACATGTTTGGCAGGGATGGACGACTAATGGTGAGGCGCAATCCAAATGAAGAACTTCGAAATAAAATGTGTGTGCAATAGTCAAGTGTATTTCCTCAGTTGGTGTCGGCGCGTTGGATTTTATTGATAAACTATTAAACAAAAAGGATTATTCAAATATCTTGAAAAATAGTTTATTACAAAGTGCGTCTAAAATGGAAATAAGGGCGAGTGCAGCGCAATGATCGAGAACAATAGTGCTAGGATTGCGCAAGAATCTTGCTTCATGCTTTATTACTGACGAAAAGTAGCTAAAACACCTGCCTAATCTCCGGATTTGAATCCTGTAGAAAATGTTGGCCCTACATTAAAACTAAACTTCAACAGGATAATATTACTAACAAAACTCATTTTGCAAAACATTTCATTGGAAGAGTGAGACAAAATTGATAGAAAGTTAGAAAACGTTTAACATCTGTGTTAGAACAAAAAGTTGGCCACAACAAATATTAATCTTCAATTTTGGTGCTCTAATTGTTCTTACTTGACAAAATGTAATAAATCCTCAAATATGTCTGTGGTGCAATAAAATGCACTTATTTCTTTTCTATTTGGTTCCTTTGTTAATAAAATATTGTGCCATAAAAATGCCAGAAATACATAACATGCACTTCTTGTTCGTGGGGAAATACATCATGGGGGCACGGGGTGTAATTTTTGTTATCACTATATTTAGATTTTACAGCATATTTAAAGGTAAATCAAGCAGAAATAAATTGTGCTTTTTATTTCTAGTGTGGCTTCTTCAAGCGAAAACGACCATCCTCAGCTCCCGAAAGACAGCCATTGAGGACCAACGGGTACCATCCCAGTGACTAAAATTCCCAACAACTATTAGTGGGTCAGTTTTGTGAAAAAAGAAACACTGCTATTTCCACGAACGCGATGCCGCAGTGATTGTTAAAGATCTAACAAGCCAACTAATAACTTAATACGTGTTTAGTCAATTAAATCTTACATAGACTGACTGTTCCGGTGGAAAAAGCGTAGGAAAATGGTGCCAGACGATAGTCTAACTAGTAATAAAAACGGCCTCGACTAAAATGAGAATACGCTTATTTTAACTTAAATTAATGCTGCTTGAGCCTCTAGGACTATTATTTCGCAAATGTTTGCGGTACTGAGTGCAAGGGAGCCGAGCTGAGTCTCAGTCATTTTAGTCACCCCCCAATTGGAGATAATTGATTTATATGACCTCCCCCCCGGTTAATTGTTGTAAAGTTGTGAGTCTATTTATTGAATATTAGGAAATAAGGATTAGTCCGTCAATATCATCCCATTAAAGTCCACTAAACTTAATCAAGTAACTTATTAACGCAATTAGATTTTTAAATTGAAACGCCAAATAGGGTCAGAATTGAGGCAGATACTGCAAATAAAATGATTACTGGCTGCTGCTGGCTGGTTTAAGTCAAGCAAAAGTTGCATAATTACAAGTTGTAAACGATAACAAACTTTCTTTTTTGCAGCCCAATTTTATGCAGTAGCTTTACATTTCAACTCGATATTTTGTCTTTAAAACACCGTTATCGAATTTTTGAATAAACTTTGTAGAGCTTCAAGTATGTTCACAGCTAAATCATGTTTCATTGGCTTAAATAGCAATAAAGCATCTACTGTAATCAAACTTTGTAATATAGACAGAAATGCTCTCTTTGACTAGATTTTGATCTAAAATTGTATAAATCAGTCGCAATTAAATTTCTGACCTAAACAACATGCAATCAATAAGTGGCCTTATGGAACGGAGCGCGCCTCCTGCCCAAACGAAGAAATAATGTATAATACTTGTTAAAAACGTTGATTCTAGTAGTTTTAACAATGTCTGTGAATAAACTTAAATTATTGTTATACCCCGGTAGTTTTACTTGAGGAAAACACCTGTCGGCTACTATTAAAAAATGTATTATATTAACGTTAAAAAAATTACAATTAGGTACAAATTAACAAAACCTGCAAGAGAGTTCGTCGGTTTAGGCCACTGAAGAGAATTCAGGGTGGGCGAGAAGTTCAGATGCATGACCACATGTTCGTTTTATGCCAAAATATTTAAACACGAACTGGAGGCATTGCAGGTGAACTTCCAAAGCTGTGGGGCGGCACAAAACAGAAAATTCCATCAGCTGAGTCAACATGCAGCAAGTTATATACAAATCGTTTCAAAAATATCGATAAATCCACATTTGACAACAATTATTATTATTATTATTATTATCTACTATAGGAGTTTTAACAATTCAATATATTCTTCGTCGGAACTTTACACATGGAGAAGGTACTTGGGGCTGAAATAGCCCCCAGTGAAAAACCAGGCTGCAGTTTAGGTCGCTGAAAAGGGGGCCAAACAAGTACTATTTTCACTAAAATACATATTAAACCTAACTTCCTACCTCATCACAATAAAACGTCGGGCTGCACGAGTCTACATCATGCAAAATTCATTCTATAAAAAATTGCACCAATACCGGCTCTGATTTTAATTAAAAATACTGTTGTATTTAGGACAGTGGCGGCTCGTCATAAGGAGCAAAGCGGACAAATACTAATCACATCTAAAGATTTCGGATGTGCAAAACTGTATAACCAATTGAAAAGTTTCGAAACTAGTTTGCAAATTCGGGTGCATTCTTTTCGATTTCAACGTTGTGTTTTGGGATTATTCGTCCATTTGACGAGGAAGAGCTTATGCTTTATTATGCTTAGGCTTTATCCTCAGCAATTTTAGGGTTATAAGCGTACAAACAAGTGTCTTTGTCCCACTGAACACGTTCATAATAAAATAGCTGAGCATCACTCTTAAAATATTTAAGTTCATACATGAACTATTGGAAGACGTTTAAAACAGAATCGCCCATTTTTGGGAGTAGTTAGTGAAAATRAAAGAGAATCCCAATGAGTGTTCGCCCAGATGACCGGATATTGGTCCTTCAGATTTTTTCAGATCTTTAACAATACGAGAAAGAARTTTTTATTCGAGGATTTTGCACCTTTGGGAATTTSATGAATTTTCAAAGTGGATCTTCAGAGTCTCGTTTTGATTCAGATTCGTTCTGCGAAGCAATTGAATTGCACGCAGTTTAATTGCAAAAAATCGAGTCTACCTTCGCATACAATCCCATTTTTGCGTGTTCTTTCTATGAACTTTAAGAAATGTTGAAGTGCGGCTTCAAAATGTTGTTTTGATTCATATTTGTTCTGCGTCGTCTTTTTGAAAATATCGGTTTTGCCAAACCGGACAATATAGAAGGTTGGTTTACACGCAGATTAATAGCCAGTAATCGGCGTTAAACTCGCACGAAGTCCCATTTTTCTTCTCCTTTGTGTGAAATTTCCAATGAGGCTTTAAAGTATTGATTTGATCCATATTTCGTTCTGTATCGTCTCTTTGAAAATCTCAGTTCTTCCAATTTGCAGTTTGCACACAGATTAATAGCCAGTAATTGGCTCTAAATTCGCACATTTGCTTCTTCTTTGTGACAGAGCTTAACAAAATTAAAAAAAAAAATGTTTTTTTGATTTTGATGTGTTCTGCGAAAGTTTTTTTTTTATAAGTTCTTCCATACCTGACAATGTAGAAATTATGTTTGTTTACATGCAGATTAATAGCGAATAATCGGGTCTAAATTCGAACAGTCTCACTTTTAATTCTCCTTTGACTTAAAAGAAGTTTCAAAATTCGGCATGAAAGCTATACAATGTAGAATAGTTGAAAGCTATACAATGTACATGTAGACAATGTAGAATGTTGTTTTGCACCCAGTTTAATAGCCAAAAATATACTCGAAATTCGTCCCACTTTTGATTCTTCTTTGTACGAACTTTAAACAAATTTTCCAAGCGAGGTCTGAAAATATTATTTTAATTCATATTTGTTATGTATGGTCTTTTTGAAAATGTCGGTTCTTCGAAAGCTGA